TTTCCTATATATATATGGTCTGTACTGGGTATCTAAGGTTTAACTCAAGTTTCCTAAATATGTACATATAGTATGTACTGGGTATCTAAGGTTTAACTCAAGTTTCCTAAATATGTACATATAGTATGTACTGGGTATCTAAGGTTTAACTCAAGTTTCCTAGTCTGCAACATACTTTTTGATAATACCAGAAATATTCCATTCTATTATATTTCATGATTTTTACACAGACATGTCCTCATAAAAGTTAAAAATAACTGCTTTTGGAAATAGTTATCCTGTGTATACACATATTATTAGCTAGTACTCAAAAACAAATACCTACTGCCCTTAAGAAGAAAGAAGCATATGTTTCTTACACTGTTTAAGTACAGTATTGACAAGTAGTACACTGACATCAAAAACAACGTGGCTGTAGTCATCAAAACTTTATGATGGACTGTAACGCCAGCATGGTTAAACACACAGTAGAAGAGCTAGCAAGAAGTAAATCAAATAAATAGTGTGTGTGTGTGTATATTTTTACACTATATGCCTAAACAATGCTTGTAATATACAGTCTTTTATTAGGTAGAGAAAATGAAAATTTTAATATTTTTTAAGCTTTTACACTGATTGAATATTCACTACTGTATAGCATCATCAGTGTACAAAAATTGTGGAAATAGCTGTGACTACCCCCCCCCCCCCCCATAACCAGTTTTGATTATGTCCTTCCAGTATTCAGTCAGACAGGCTAATATTTTTCTCAGTCATAGGAAGTTTTTAGATGAAGTATTTCATTTGTTGGTAACTAGTTTAACACCATATAGTTTTTGAAACCTCTACCTGATAATAATAAATTGATCAAGCATATGATATTATATGTTGGGACACCAGATTTCAAGCATTAGTGATCTGAAAATTGTCCATAAGATGTTGCTACATTTCAAGCAGTGCCATGAAAATGAATCAATGGACTAACTAATCAACTGCCATATTCTTGTAATATGGATATTAATTTAAGTTTCTTTTAATGATATGCTATGTATTTGGTGACAGGTATTTTATTTCAATGTAGTTTGATGACTTATATTAATAACACAAGCAAAATTGAGATCATCAGTCGTATGATAGAAACTTCCTGTAATTTGTAAAATTAAGCCTGATGAACAGGCTTTCAAGAAAATTCATTACATGTTAAGATATGTTCATTGGTGTAAAAATTTGTCACAAGATCAAAGAGAGACAGTTTATGTCAAAATTCAAAATATAAGCTAGGAAATAATTATTTGATTATGTAGAGTTTTACAAATTTTTTAGAATGAGCTAATGTTGAGATACTATATTTATTTATGTTTAGGATAAACACTCTTAACATCAACTACACTTTAAACTATCCTGAGTAAACTGAAAATAAGACAAATTAATGCCTCCAATTTGTTGTCCAGTACAGAAAAAGTGAAATTCATCAGATTTAGTTAGATTTTTTAAAATTGTAAACAAATCATTTAGATCCAATGTAATAATTTGTAGTTCTTCAAATAAATTACCAATGTTTCATTTTCTATGAAGTCTGAGTTATTTGTCAATCAAAAAACAATCTACTTGGAAGCTTAATGCAAGATAACTTAAATTGTCCTATATGTTTATCTAACTTATAATAATTTCAATGCTTTTCCATCTACAAGACTATGTAATCAAACAACTATTCAAATAAACCCCCATCTACTATCTTTGTGTTCACTGTGTACATTTTCATGTTTATCAGTTGTTAATACATATAGAAATGTCCCTTTGGCAAAATTTCATCTTCAAGAGTGGTAACTGATATGTAATGCACTGGGTTTTTATACCATACTATGAAGCAATTTAAGGATAGTCATTATATACATGCATACTATATACATTTCTTGAAAACTCTATCTCCAAGATGTATCATTTTTCTCTATTGATCACATACACATCATTTTGCCAAGAGAAACTTTTGATAGCATTTTTGTCTGTTGTTCCTTATCACCTGCAGCTTCCATGAACCAATCTTTTACACCATGTACAGACATTTTCTAACCTTGGAAATATTTGGCTATAAAAACTAACCGATTTCCTTTGTGACTTCACTAACTCTTGGAATGGTCTCAGTAATCAGAGTGAATTATTTCAAGATAGGGCAGTTAGAATCACCACATATGAAACTGACCTTTCTAGATTAGCTAATCCATGTATTGTAATTTCCAGGCCATTCTTATAAACATTTCTTTTCGGGGGTTTGTGTCATCTTTTGGGTCCTGTAGATTTTGTAGCTCGAGACTGGTTATAGTAAATTAAAGTGCTGCTAGATGTGTTCATGTTTTAGTTTATTTATGGGAAGTTAAAGTAGCCTCTGCAGGCTTTAAGCTTTAAATAACATGGTCGTGATGACTGAAGTTATCTTTATTGAAAATAAGATGACTATCAAATATGCATACTGATCCTGCAAATGACCAAATCAATCTGTAACAGGTATCTATCTGGCTTTTCATGGCAGTGTTAATTTTAAGTCCACAGCTAAAACCTCAAATTTTAAAGTTAATTTCTCTAAACTAATTCATTCCTAAATACCTGGCAATGTTCAATTTGTGTTCCTACTCAACCTAGCTAAATGTATGGTCACTTTTTCTGTTCTAATTTTTTCATCATATATTTTCATTTTTCTGTGTTTCCTTACTTTTCCGAGAATCTCTAAACTTCTAGTCCTTTCTTTTACTGATCATACATACAATTACACAAGATATTCGAAATAATTTGAATTTCTTTGAAAATGTTAAGACATATAACATTTTTACTATGATTCCATTCCTGATAGAAAAAACTGTTAAATAACATTAGAAATTGTCAGAGGACTAATAAAAATAAAACTATCCATTACTGGAAAAAATCTAATAACTATAATCAAAATTAACTTATACTTATGGATGTATGAGAAATATTTTAAATCCACCAAAGCACCCCGATATCTTTCTTCCCATACATCTACATCAAAATAGGTTATTTTGTTTCAGTTTCATAAATTCATGATTCCAGGGAAGCCTACTTTTCAATCTCACTCCAAATGATATGTAACTTAAGTTTCACATATGATTAAGAACAATTTGCATTTTTGTAAAGTCTTAATAGAGTTAATACCTGAACAGTACCTATGTCACTGAACTGACAAGGGCTGTTTCAACTTTCATCAAATATACTCTTATCTAGTCACTATTTACTGTAAATTATTAAAAACTATAACCCTTAGAATTTTGACATTCAAACTACAAAATTAACACGGTGAATCTTTTTATTATTATTATTTATACTCTAAGTTTTAAGTTTGTATCTGTTAATGTAGACACAAAGTACTGTTATCATCAAAATTCTAATTTTTTCAGACTTTACTTCATATAAATAGTACTTCAAGCAGTAATATTTATCAGGCAAACTTGAAAAATGATATACATAAATACAAATAATAATCAACAAAACTTTCTTATACAATATATTTTTAAAAAATCAGCTATGTAGTCTACCTTTTTGTCTTTTTTATTATTAAAAAGGTTCCAGATCTTCAAAATGTAAAAAAAGAAAATACAGTACACCATTATATTTGGTATGTTATCATCAAAAAGAGGAATACACTTCACACACTCAGAAATTAATATTAAAATAAACTCAAGGTTTTAGTATATCCCAGATGCTTTGTTTTTGCTACGACACTAAATTAAATTTAAAACGTATTTTTACTTTTAGTAAAACTGTCAAACCGAGGACAAATCCATATTTATCTGATGTTCAAAGTTCAATGCATAAATAGCTTAAAACTATATAAACAAGAAACTGCCAAATAAATGCATATATAAAACATTTTCCCTACAGTACAATCTTTGTATTTTAAACTAGTTATAGTGTACAATTCGCACCGAGTGTGAGTGAGATGTAACAGTATACAGCCAAGCTAATTAAATTACGACTATGGGTACCCTAAATAAAAACGCTTCAATTTCAAATTTCAAATATATATAAAACATTTTCCCTACAGTACAATCTTTGTATTTTAAACTAGTTATAGTGTACAACTCACACTGAGTGTGAGTGAGATGTAACAATATACAGCATGGCTAATTAAATTACGACTATAGGTACTCTAAATAAAAACGCTTCAATTTCAAATTTAGATAAGGCCAACAGTTTTCATTCAAATTTCATTAATAGAAATTATAACCTTATAATACTGAGTCCATATTCATAACTTTTTATCTCGTTATTACGCAATATATCAAAAATGTATTTGTACGGAGGGGAGGTATGCTTGTTTTGGTTTGTTGTTCGAAAACAAGAAACTTCCGGTTAACTTACCTATAAATTGTTGATAAAAGCTACAGATAACAGTATCGTTACCAGTTGTTTTTAAAAAATATCAAATGAAACAGCGCAACTTAGTCTTGACTCTCGGTTCTAGTACTAGTATTTGTAGAAGTACTACAGCCCATGCAGGAGGAAAGTTCTACAATCCTCACAAAAGTAGGCTACACTGCTACAGGGTGTACAGTACAGCCGTTTCACGAATTTCAGAGGGCCGCTCTTAGCACAGCTTACTTGTTAATGTTTGTGTGCACCACAGTTGACGTTTTTAAGCGATAAGTTAAGATTTAACTACAGTCTCTTTTCATTTGTAGTTGATTAATTTCCTTAGTAGTTATCGACTGTATAGCAAAAATTTCAAATTCATATCTCCCGATAAATAGACTAATACTAGATACACAATGCCGCACGAACCTACTGATAATATTCACTGCCTCTAGTCAACAAGGTTCTCAACGCTTGCATTTGAGACTGCGAAGCATTCGCCAGTGGATTGGCTACAGATGTTGGCACGTGACTTGTCGCAACGTCATTTCAGCCATATTCTGTGATAGGTTTAGAATTGAAAGAACTGCATTGTTCAGTCTAATTTCTTCTTTTTTTCATTAACGAGGTTCTGACATAAATCACTTTTTCACGTTGTAGGATATACTTACTAAAATGTCACCGAAACCTAAAACGTTATTTTTTAGGTTCTGTTATGTTTTGTCGAACTGAACATTTTTGAGAGGTTCTCCTATAAACCGATAATGACATTGTTGAATATACTTAGTGAAATGTCCTCCAACCTGTTTCTTTGCTTGTTTGTTTAAAATTTTCGCTCAATACTACACCAAAGCTATCTGCGAAGAGCCATCCTTCTTTTTGACTAGAAGGAAGGCATCTAGTCAACAGCACCCACCGCCAACTCAAGGATGTCTCGTCTAACAGAATAGTTGCATTTGACCATCATTCTTATTGTTTTTGCGACAACGGAACGGGAATTTCAAATCCACTGATTCACACTCCGAGCAGGCTAACTTCTAAACCTACATCGTTCTTTTTTAGGTTTCGTTACGATTTTTAAACAAAATATTTGTTTTTCAGTCAGTATGCTCACTCAGTCTTGATTTTATCTTGTTTGGCAGACAGTGACAGTTGATACAGTATATGGCTGAATGTCGTACAAAACAGTGTAATGATTGTAATAACTTTCAGTAATACTGGCAAACACTGCTAGGGTATACTTATAACTGTTGTGCAGTTTACCGATATAAATAAGAAAGTGTTTGTAATGGTCGTGTTGAGTGTTTTATGTGCATAGATATTATGATTTGCCAAAAAACTGATCACCTAAAATTTTCTACAATGCATATAAGGTAGCACTTTAGTTGCAGTTTCAATACATGATAATAATAATGTGTTATAATTGCGACCACGCTTAAAATGTAAACTTTTGTACTGTACATACCTATGGAACAAGTGACAGTAAGCTGTTACACTATGATGTCGTAGAGAACAATCTTATAATATATTTGCACATTAGAGAATACCGTCAAGGTCAACTTTGTTCATGTGCTGTCCACGCACTTACTGACAGGCCTCTTTATAACGAGCATACTCAGCTGGAGTAAAACATCTCAAGGTTGTGTAATGTCACGTTTGACGCAATGCAAAGTTGATCAGTGTTGTTACATACAGTTCGCCTTACTTATTATTATAATAACAAAATGGTGGATAAGCAAAAGCTACAGTTTTTAGGGTGTTGTTGTTTAGTAATCAGTACTATCACTTTATTAATAAATACAAAGTCAACACATCCAAACAACGCTGATATATATATACACACACTTTTTGTGTATGTCTTGGATGTTAAAATGAAGATGAAACGCGACTAATATGGGAAATCTTGTTCCTACTCTTTTAATTTTTGTTTCTTAGGGGTCCTATGAAAAAAATGGTAATGGTCGTTACTTTTGTTTTATTATAATTATATTACGCTAGTTTTTGATACTAATACTGAATCTAGTGAAGAATTTATTTCCTGTGTATTTGGTATTTTCCGCCTTAAGCAACATAAAGGCTAAGCAGCCATGTTAAGCACCCGCCGCCTAACGGTTACTCTTGCCCGAATAGCGGGATTGACTGTTATGTCTATAACGCTTTCACAGCTGAAAGTGCAGGACAGTTCAGCGACATTTCATGGGCTCGAATCTTGGATCTTCCTCGACACAGCTTGGCCTGCCAACCATGAAGCCACCTCTCACCCGTCTTCTGAGATAAATTACATAATACCTACATGTCACATAATTTCTTTGTATTCTTAAAATGAAGCTAAAATCAAATCGGAATTCTTAACAATCTGAAATTAATTTAAAGTTTAGTAATCGAAATGCCATCTTAAAACCTCACATATTCAAAATAATGGATAAATTATTTTAACTACTTTCGGAACGATTTCATATAAAAAATAACAACTGAGATAATTAAAGAAATATATAGATAATTATATGGGGACTCTGGTATTTTTGTGAGCATATGTAATTCTAGTTTAGATTTTGAAAAATAAAAAGCCAAAGAAAGATATGATCTAAAGAGTATACAGTCTTTTACGCCTTAACATGATATGACTGTGGTATATCATACATTTATGGTATGCGTTTCACGTGCGAACGTGTTCATGTGACAAAGGTTCAGAAAATGGGCGAATTTCACATTGACAGCATTCACTGAATTTTTGGACAATATTCTAAACTGAAAGTGATATAAGAAGGTTCATCGTCGTCACTTGCGAACGGAGAAAGACAGTAGTCCTGCCAACATGCTTGAAAATGGAGATACCGTTGCTGCTATCTTTGACTTATCTCAAAGTTTAGCGTCCAGCTTTTCTAAGCCCAATAAGTGGTAGACCAAGCTCCAAAACACAAAATATGCCATGTCAAATATCTTGGTAAAATGGCTTGACAAAATTACTTTGTTGATTCTGTGGCACTAAAAAGATAATTCCGTCGCATAAAACTACAGCATACAGTTCAAATCACACTAAAAATGAGATTAAAGCCAGGTTAAATATCGCCAGTCTGAGAGCTTAGCAGCTTGACACACTACCGAGACGACTCTTCTGCATGTGCAAAGGTTACCACTGTCTATCTTGGACAAAAATTATCGTGAAAAGTATTATCTAACCATTTCTCTGTGAATCAACCGTTTAATAATTCTGGAGTTAGCTTCAGGGAGTGGGAAAACATTCCCATAGCCAGGCCAGAGGTTCGTAAAGAAACTTGAAGGGCAGTTCTGGCTTTTCGGGAGGACATAAATAAATGCTACGAGGCATTTACTACTATCTATATTCCTGAACCGTGAAGTTGTTTCAGATACTGTAAATTATAAGTATTAACATATCGGGGTGGGGGGGGGGGGGTTGAAGGAAATACATTGTCACAGCTTGGTATTTTTTATGTTATTGTTTCACCTTCACTTCCATTAGTACCTTACGAGTTGTGATTTAGCTAGTTGTAAAATTACTGTCAATTATTTTTGATCATTAATTTATTTGTCATGTTTGGGAGTGACCTAGTTGCCGTCCATGGTTTGCGTTCCTGTTACTGTAAAATCACTCTCTGTTCTTTGAGGTCGTGGGTGCATTATAAAAGTTACCATCAAGTACTCTATTTGATTAGAAGTGTCTAAGAGTTGGTGACGGGTTTTGTTGACTAGTTGTTTTCTCTCTAGTCTGTCAGTCCAAAATTATAGACGGCTGACATATGTGATCCTTAATTAACTTTGTGCAAATATCCAAAACAAACAAACAAAATTGTATTCAAAATATATGGAATTCAAGGTTTTCTGTGAATGTTTTTGTACTCTTATTATAGAAACGCTAGAAGTAAAATGTACGAGTATGTACACACACACATATATATATATATATATGAGGTAAAGCTGGAAGTGAATCAAATCCTGTCAGAAGTGAGCTTACCTAAAACAGGTGGAAACTAGCAAGTTCTGGAACTAGCTCTCCTGGATTTTTTTTTCTTCAGTTAGAGTGACAGTTTAGGCTTATCGTGATGTAAAAAGGACCAAAACATGATGGAAATTATGAACATAAAAACACAAACAAGATTAATGTAACAATAAACACTTTAATGCCCATCTTACATGAATGACTTTTTCTTTTTGTTTTAACTTTTTTTTACTTTGTTCTTTTTTCTTTTTGAAAATACGAAAATCACGCACAAATT